TTTCCTCCAGGTGCTCCAGTTTCTTCCCACAGTCCAAAGATGTGCAGGCTAGGTGGATTGGCCATGCTAAATTGCCCATAGTGCTCAGGATGTGTAGATTAGGTGGGTTATAGGGCGATGGGTCTGGGTGAGATGCTCTGAGGGTTGGTATGGACTTGTTGGGCTGAAGGGCCTGTTTCCACAATGTAGGGATTCTAAGATCTAAGATTCTAAGAATCCAGAATGGTGCATTGCCTCTCTAGTGCCAGAGTCAATGATGTCTCTGAGCAGGCACAAGATATTTTGAAGGGAGAGGATAAGCAGCCAGAGGTTGTGGCCCATATTCGTACGAACAACATAGGCAGAAAGAGAGATGAGGTCCTGTAAACAGAGTTCAGGGAGTTAGGTAGGAAGTTGAAAAGCAGAACCTAACTTCGGGATTATTTCCTGTGCCACTTGCCAGTAGGCTAGGAATAACAAGATGGTAGAGTTAAATATGTGCTGAAGAGCTCGTATAGGAGGGAGGGATTTAGGTGTGAGGATCATTGAGATGTCTTTGGGAGAGATGGAACCTGTACAAGAAGGATTGGTTGCACCTAAACTGGAGGGGCACCAATATCCTGGCAGGGAAGTTTGCTAGTGCCACTCAGGAGGGTTCAAAATAGTGTGGCAAGGGGGCAGGAACCAGAACAGTAGGTCAGCAAGTAAAACGACCGAGGAGACAGAGACCAAGGCCCATAAGATAAAGAGGAAGAACAGATGGAGAAATCTTACTAAACACAGTAGGGCTGGCGGGCCTGAGGTGTATTTCTTTCAATATGAGGAGTATGACAGGTAAAGGCATATGAACTTAGAGTTTGGATTAATACATATTACTATGGTATTGTAGTTATTAAAGAGACAGAGAAGGACAAATCCGGCAACTTAATGTTCCGGGCTTTAGATCTTTCAGACATGATAGAGATGAATGTAAAAGTGGCAGGGGAGTAGTGTTACTGAGGAGGGAGAATTTCACAGCTGACCTAAGGGAGCACACCTTGGAGGGCTCGTCCAGTTTGGCCACATGGGTAGAGGTCAGGAATAGGAAGTGTGCAATCACCTTGATGGAATTGTACTGGAGGCCTTCCAACAATCAGCGGATGACAGAGGAACAGATTTATGGACAGATACGTGGAAAATGTAAAAGCAATAGGGTTGTTGTTGTGGGTAATTTTAATTTTCCCTGTATTGACTGGGACCACCCTGCTCCCCAAGTGCCAGTGGCTTGGATGGAGCGGGGAGGTTTATTAGGTGTGTCCAGATGGGTTTTTTGAGACGTTATGTAAATAGTTTACGCGGGAAGAGGCCATATTACACCTGGTATTGGGGAATGAGCCCAGCCAGATGATCTAAGTTTCAGTGGGGGACCATATCAGGAACAATGCCCATAATTCTGTAGGTTTTAAGTTACTTACGGACAAGAATAAGAGTAGTCCTCGAGTGAAAGTACTAAACTGACAAGAGAAACTGAGAGCTTAGTCAAAAAGAAAAAGGAGGCATACCAAAGTTGTAAGAAACTGAAGACAGAGCCTTCAAAGAATACAAAGATATCAGGAAAGAACTCAAACAAGGAATTAGGAGGGCTAAAAGACGCCAAAATATGTCTGGGCAAACAGGATTAAGGAAAATCCCAAGGTGTTTTATACATATATAACAGCAAGAGGGTAGCAAGGGAAAGGGTTGATCAAGGACAAAGGAGGGGATTTATGCATGGAACCAAAGTGGGTGAGGTCCTTAAGGAATAGTTTGCATCAATATTCACAAAGGAAAAGGACATGGTGGATGGTGAGTCTCAGGAAGGGTACGTTGATATTTTAGGGCATGTCAATAGAAAAAAGGAGTTGTTGAGTGTTTCAAAAAGCATTAAGATAGACATACCTCAGGACCTGATGTGATCTATCTCAGAATGCTGAAGGAGCCAGGTGTTGAAAATGCTGGGCCCTTGTGCGAAAACCTTGTATCCTCCGAAGTCACAGGAGAGGTCCCAGAGGACTAGAAAATAGCCAATGTTATTCCTTTATTGAAGAGGGCAACAGGGATTATCTGGGAAATTATAGACTGGTGAGCCTTACGTCAGTTGTAAAGAAATTATTGGAGAAGTTTCTTAGGGATTTGATTTACTCACATTTGAAAAATATGGACTTATTAGCAATAGGCAGCGAGGCATGGGGAAGGTTGTGTCTCACAAACTTATAGAGTCATACCACACAAAAACAAACCTTTGGTCCAATTCGTCTGAGGTGATCAGACATCCCAATCTAAACTAGTCCTGTTTGCCAGCATTTGGCCCATATCCCTCTAAACCGTTTCTATTCACAAATCCATCCAGCTAGGTCATTGTCCATTTATCTTAGTCATAATCGTATTGAAATACATCAAGTTTTGAAAAAAATGTAGATGTGCAGCAATAAGAATGCATGATAAAGGAGTCCCTTAGAATCTGTAGAGCTTCAACTGCTCCCATAACACTGATTTAGGTAGGAACACAAATTGATTCAAGTGTCCAATTTTGAAAGGGACATCTGAACACAATCTTGTCTTCTTTGAAAATTTATCAGTAACTATGTTGTGATTCCAATCCCTGCTAACCTGATCACACTTCTCATAACTGTCACTATAATTAATGAGTATAATTACATATTTAAAATTATTAAGCTTTTCAATAAAACGTGTGTACTTTGAATAAAGGTTCAGAACTAGCCATTCACTTCTGCTTTCCCACAGATTGCTTAATATTAATGTTAATTATATTAACATGGAGGAATCTCATTGTCATAAACTATATAGTTAATGGCAGCATGTTGAATTCCTTTACTAACGAAAGGAGAAACAAAAAGATTAACTGCATAGTGCTACTATGAACTAGCCGAGTCCAGTGGCAGAGTGAGCAGGGGCCGAATCCCGAGGCGGAGTGAACGGGCGATTGTCAGAACAGTGGCAGAGTGAGTCCTGGATGGTGGCTGATACATGGAAGTAGTATGGCCTCGTGCTCTGGGGCCTGCAGGCATAGACTGGAACTTAAGTACTTATGGTCACTTATTATCATACTGGACTTTTTCACTGCTACGTGCTAATCTATATTCTTTTTTACTCTGTAACAACACTTGTAGTTACTCCGTAAGATTTGCACCTAGGTACTTGTACCCAAGATGATGCCATTAAAAGCAACCATTCTAAAAACTTTTCACTGTATTCCTGTACCTCTCTACTGGAGCACATGTGACAATGAAGGAAATTCTATTCTATCCATCTGCATCAGGATAGCCTGAAGGCTCGCTGCTTCTTCCTTTGGAAAATGGCTATGATGTATCAATATATAAAAAATAGCGCACTGCCGAATATTTGCATACTTCCGCGTACCCCCACTGTGGTTTACAGATCCCAAACTATGTCTCAACCATCTCACATACCCCTTCCCCACCCTCCCAGAACAACGATAGCATTCCCTTTGTGCTCAGTTTCCACTCCAGCAGACTCTACATGCAAATGATCATTCGCCACCATTTCCATTACTTCCCGTAGGATACCACTATCTGCCCCTCTTCCACTGTCAGCATTCCACAAGGATGGTTCCGTCTATGACACCCTGGTCCCCTCTCAATCACTCCTAACACTTTCTCACTCCCCCATGGCAACTTGCCAGACAATCGGAGAAGATGTGCCACTTACCCATTCACCTCTTCATTGTCCGAGGTCCCAAACATACGTTCCAGGTGAAGCAGTGTCTTCCTTATAGTTCTTTCAATCTCGGCTACTGTATTCGCTACTCACTATGCAGTTTCCTTTGCATTGGCGAGACCAAACCCTGAGTGGGTGACTGCTTTGGGGAACACTTCTGCTCAGTCCATAACAATGACTTTGCCCTTCCAATTGCTTGCCATTTCAACAAACCACTATGCTCCCATGCTAACATTTTCATCCTTGGACTGCCACAGTGTTCCAATGAAGCACAACGCAAGCTGGAGGAACAACATGTTATTTTCTGCTTAGGCACTTCACAGCCTATAGGACTCAGCATTGAATTTCACAATTCCATTTTCCTTACTCCCCTGCCCCTTGCCCCGCACCATCTTATGTGTGTCTTCTTCACTTTGCTCTCTGCAGAGCGGACCTATTTTATCTTTTTCACGCCTTCATTTACTGTACACCTATTTTGTATCTATATCCCTCCTTCACCTCCATCTGCAATCCCATTTGTCTTTTGTTCAGGGCATCCTCACAATCTGTTCTACTTGCTCCTCCTACCACTAGGTCAACGGCATTAAAACCACCACTTCTGGACCGGCCTTCCCTTGAACCATTTTTCTTCTGTTCCGACTTCTACCGTCTATGCAGCGCAGTCAATGCTGCGATCCGTGTCGCAACCGATTGCCGTGCTTGGAATATCTGAGCGGTTGTGCAGTTCGGGGGAACGTTGTTTCCTGCCCATTCTGAAGGGCATGAAACTTTAATTCTGTTTCACTCTCCGCAGATACTGCCAGACATTCTGTGCGTCTTTGTGTTTATTTCAAATGTACAGTATCCGCAGTATTTTGCTTTTCCTTGAATTGCTGAAGTGGAGACTATGTGGAATGACGTTTTTCCGCAAGAAAACAACCGAACAGAGTTCAATATGTTGGAAGTAAGGAAAACTTTAATTCCATGTCAACAAAATCTCTTCATCTGAAATGAAACAGATCAAAAAAGCTTCGATTGGGAACAATCAATCGCGTTGCTTTAAAACATTGACAACTGACTAGGGTCCTACAGATCACAAAGATGTTTTCAGAGATCTTGGATGCCTTTTGAAGCATTTTGAATTAACGGAGAGTCAGAGTCTAACTGAATATCAGGAACGGCAAAAAAAAATCAGGTACGAGATCGAAAACTGGAGCTGACAGCGAAGACCGGAAAGTGACTCCACCGGCGAACTCTGGGAAGCGGCGCTTTCAGCGTCGATGGGATTTGGCACTCTTGCGCTGCTTTACGCCCAGCGCCCGTGATTGGCCGATTGTATCAATTGTTTATAGTTTCCTGGTTACGGGGAGAGTCGTTGAAGCAGTGTGAGATTGTAGGTGGGTATCTAGTGAATTATAGTAGAATTCGAAGAGAGGTGCAGCCGAGCTTGAGAGAGCCAAGAAAAAGACTTCGCGTGTATCGTGATATGGTAAATATTTTGGGTTCCCCCCCCCCAGGAGCTAGTTATGATTTCGTTCGAAGCACTCAGCAAACTAAATTACGCTGTCACTGTGATCAAGCCAGAGAGAAACACTGGTCCCCAAAATGGCGTTGGGATTTAGTCCAGCGAGATATAACACTGACCTTAAATCAATTTGTTATTTCTTAGCCCAAGATTGATTTTAGATGCAAGTCTCAAAAGCAATATTTTAGAAGCAAATACTACATTCAGAAAATAGCACTTTGTAAATGTTCTAATTTATGAATTGTGCCAAAAATCACTGGTATCGACTAAATGTTCTAAAATGTTGTCATGGATTGTTTTAAGATGTTTTCTCAAAGTTGCCAGTTAGGAATGTATACGTATGCGCATGGCGTGCCCATAAGTTTAAAGAGCGAGTTCCAACTAACCGCTTTGCACTTGGGTTTGTACTTAAAAAGGAAGGTAGGTTTACTTCTACATTCATGCACTGGCAGTTCTCAACGGAAGTGTCTCACATGCTGAAAGGTTAGTTAGAAGTGAAGATATAATCATTACATATAAAACGTTGAATGGCTTTAAATCTTTCACTATCAATTTTAATCGTTCTGGTCAGAGGGGAGATGCCAGAGGACTGGAGGACAGCTTTGACAGTGGGAGGTCATTCCTAACAAATCTGGTGAAATTTTTTGACATGGTGACCAAGGGTTTGGCTGAGGATAGAGCAGTTGATGTAGTTTATATGGATTCCAGCAAAGCCTTTGATGAGGTGGCCACACGGGAACTGATAAAGAAGGTAAAAGATAAAATAAGTAAAAGGATTCAGGGTAACTTAATTGGTTTAGTGATAGGAGACAGAAGGTAGTGGTAGAAGGCTGTTTGCATGACTGGAGCCTGGTGTGCAGTAGCCTACCACAGTGATCAGTGCTGGTTCCCTTATTGTTTGTGATATTCATAAATTATGTAGATGACAGAGTGTGGTTAATGATAAGTCAGTTTGTGGATGATACAAAGATTGGCCAGATGGTTGACAGTGAGGAGGAAGGTGTAAGGTGATAGGAGGATATATACGGTTGGTCAGATGGGAAGATGAGTGGCACATGGAATTTAATCCTGATAAATTTGATAACTTTGGAACAAGGAACAAGACAAGAGATTACTCAATGAATGGCAAGACAGTAGGAAGTTCAGAGGAACAGGGGGCTTTTGGGGTGCTTGTCCACAAGTCCACAAGACAGAGATTAATAGGGTAGTTCAGAAGGCATCTGGGATTCTTGCTTTTATCAATTGTTGCATGCATTATAAGAAGTGGGACATCATGTTGGAGCTGTACAGAACTTTGGTTAGCCATTGCTGGAGGACTGTGTGCAGCTCTGGTCACTGTAGGAAGGATGTCATTGCACTGGAGAGAGTGCCAAGCAGATTCACCAGAATGTTGCTTGGGGTGAAGCATTCCTGCTATGAAGAGAGGTTGGATAAGCTTGGGTTGTTTTCTTTGGAGGAGAGAAGTACACCTGATAGAGGTTTACGAGATTGAGGAGCATGGACAGAGTGGATAGAAATCAGCTGTTCCCCTTAATTGAAGGGTCAGCAGTGAGGGGCATGTTTTAAGGTAGAAAGCAGGAGATTTTAGAGAGTATCTGAGGAAAAATGTTTTCACCCAGAACGTAGTAATCTGTAATGCACCGCCTAGGTGCATAGCTGAGGCAGGTGACCTCGCATTGTTTAAAAGTACTTGGATGTGTATTTGAAATGTCATAATGTTCAAGGTTCTAGACCTGGTGCTGGAAAGTGGGACTAGTGCAGATTTAGTGCTGTTTTTGGCAGTACAGAATCATTGGGCTGAAAGGCCTCTTCTGTACTGTGTGATTCTATAAATGCTGAAATTCTGAATAAACTTTCAATAGAATTCACTCATGCCAATATACTCAAAATCAAACTGCCATTGTCATGGGCACCAAAAAATCCAAGGTGTCCTTATTTTTGCTTCGTAAGCTGCTACTTGGCTTTATCAGATAGTATTGCCCGTATGAGTTACTTTTGGTATGCAAGTTCATTTTTTGCCAGGTTTGTAACCAAATTGACTCCATGTTATGGATCAAACATGCATTCAAGTGTTGAAACTGTTCCTCCCAAGTTTGGCTGAACACAAACTATTCATATATATATAAAATACAGTTGTATAATCCTTCAATTACATTGTTGATTAATCTGTGGAAAATTGCTGGATCATTTTCATTCTGAATGGCATGACTTTACATTGATAAAGTAAGATATTTCTTTGAATGCATGGCTTAATGGAACTTGCCATAAATATTCCTTTAATAGGTCAATCTATGTAATGAACATTGCTTGTCCTCTTTCTGAATGTAAAGCTTATTGCCAACCACACAGATGTGAAACATTAAGGTAAAATAATTATGAAGATTAGTGGAATCTAATCACAAAAAAAGTCTCATAGCTTTTTAAATATTTCTCATCTAATTAATCCAGCATTGGCCAAGCTATACCCACCATGACATTCTTAGTTTTACTCAAAGGTGACCATTGACCACAATTGCTAAAGAGACCACGGGGAGAATGTGCAAACTCCACGCAGACAGTCACCCAAGGGTGGAATTGAGCCTGGGTCCCTGGTGCTCTGAGACAGCAGTGCTAACCATTGAGCCACCGTTCTGCGCTATGTACATCTGTCTGCAGCAAACTACAGTTGTGTAATAAAAGTTCAAAACAAAATGCTACTGTGATTACTAGTAGAAAATGTATGGTTAACAGTAATATTCCAACATTACAGACATACCTTAACAACTGTTTAAAGCTGTTTATGGAAAACCACGTGGTACTGAAGTTCATAAAGTTTTAATTCACTTGCATGAAATATTCTTGAGCAATAAATCACCTTGTGCATCCAAAGAACAAAATGGCCAAATATTTAAAGAAGCTAAAAATATTTCCCATGACTCGTATTTTAATAACCAGGGGGCATCAATCTAAGGTAGAGGACAAAAAGCCTAGAGGGGTTTTAAGGAAGATTTTTTTCTTTCATTCAGAATGGATGGGTAATTGGACTTCACTGCCTCAAAAGGGTGGTAAAGGCAGACAATCACATTTAAGAAGTGTTTCAATGATCCTTGCAGTGCTTTAGCATTGCAAGGCTTCGGGCCTAATGCTGGAGCATGGGGCTAGAGCAGATATGTGCTTGGCAACCAGGCGTGGACACAATGGGCCGAATGACCTCTTTCTGTGGCAAACTCTATGGCTGTAATCTATCTATCTTTCATAAATCTTTGCTGACTCTGTCCGATCCTGCCACTGTTTTCTGAGTTCGCTGCTCTTCAATATTTTATGTTGAACTATAACACTTACCCACTACTGACACCAGGCTGACTGGTCTATAATTCTCAGTTTTCTCTCTACCTCTCTTTTTAAATAGAGTGGTCATGTGAGCTACCCACCAATTTGTATGAATTCTTCCAGAGCCTATAGAATCTTGGAAAGTGACCACCAATGCATCCACTATTTCTAGGGCCACTTCCTTAAGTACTCTGGGCAGTAGATTATCAGGCCTGTGGGATTTATTAACTTTCAATCCCATCACTTTCGCCAACACCGTTTCTGTACTTAATACTGATTTCATTCAGTTCCTCCCTCTCACTAAATCCTGTGATCTCCAACATTTTTGCAATGTCATTTATGAACATAGAACCAAAGTTTGTATCTAGTTTCTTTGTTCCCCATTACAAATTCCCCTGCTTCTAACTCTAAGGAGCCATATTTGTCTTCACCAATCTCTTTTCTCTTCGCATGCCTATAGGTAGTTTTACAGTCAGTTTTTATAATCCCTGCAAGCATACTCTTGTACTCTATTTCCCCTTTCTTAATTAATCCCTTTGTCTGAGTTTTTTGAGTTCTGAGTTTTAAACAATTCCCACTCCTCGGGTTTTTTATTTCAGACCAATTTGTACACCTCTTCCTTGGATCCAATATCATCTCTAACTTTTCTCTTTTAAGCCGTGTTTGGACACCCCTCCTGGTTTACTTTTGCACCAGGCAGGATTGAACAATTGTTGCAATTCACCCAAGCACACTTTGAATATTTCCCATTGACATTCCATTGTCGTCCAAGTAACATTTCCCAATCTATCATTGTCAACTCGCACCTCATACCATCATTATTTTCTCTATTTAGACTCAGGACCCAAGTCACATAATCAACTATATCACTCTCCATTTTGATGAAGAATTCTATCGTACTACATGTGAGACATTCCATTCATACAGGACTTTGCCAGACAGTCACTGACTTTAATTCACATTTTTTTGTTGCAGTCACTAATTCTAACAATCTGTGGTCATTGTTCCCCCTAATGTTTTTTCTTCTGTGACTTGCAGAGCCAAAGTAGACAAACAGGATGCTGGAAGAACACAGCAGGCCAGGCAGCATCTGGAGGAAAGGAGCAGTCAACGTTTCAGGTTTTACCCTTCAGGACTGGATGTGGGGGTAGGGGGAGCCGCAGATAAAGTGGGGAGAAGGGAAGGGGTGGAGGTGGAATGATGGTAATAGGTGGACACTGGTGGTAGGTACAACCTGGTTGGTCGATAGGAGGGACCTGTTCATCTACCTTGGATTCCAGCATCTGCAATTTTTTTGTCTCTTGCAGAATCAGAACTGATTGCTGTGACCCACATCAGCACGCCAATCATTATGCACGTGCCGCAGCTTAGAGTTGATGTTTGTTGTGGTCTATATAGACTGTGGTCTCTCTCTACTTATTTTGGATATAGATCTCAAAGTCTTTGAAAGCCTATAATAATCTGAGGATTTCCTTCTCTACTGTCACTACTGTGTTCTGATCATTATCTGCAGTTTTCGATCCCTGAATTGAGGAGGGATGTGGTTGCATTGGAGTTCAGAGAACAGAGATTGAGCAGTTTAGGCTTAAACTCTCTAGCATTTGGAAGATTGAGTAGAGATCTAATTGAGTTATCTAAAATGCAAAAGGAAGTTG